GTAGGTCAGCTGGTAGTGTAATAAATAGGACAGCATGGTCAATCATATTTTTATCATCATCATGACATGAGTTTCTGCGGTAACAGAATGAATCAGATTACATTACACGTACAGCACTAGAGAGGTGTAATTACATTGATACAAAGTGTTAAAAGCCTAATGTGCTTCCATTAGCCAGGCTTAAACTCTGCTCTTTTGTGTGGAAAGTGACTTGAACATTCAGTTAAACAGCCAATTACAAAACACACACGTAAATAGCTCAAAAATTACTACTATTAGTGTAAATACTTTAACAATGTGTTTACCGCAGAAACATTATGATTATTCTGATTCCCAGTGTTGTCTGTAAAACATGTGAAACAGTGTTGGCTATGGTCACAACAAACCTGCAGCAATATTAGGAGCTTTTTAAATGTGTGTGTAGACAAATTACATATTTTGTTCATTATCAGAGTAAAAATAAACACATCCTCTACAAGGAACAAACTTGAATGTGGCATTTTTTCTGCAAACTTTAAAGCACAGCTTCTGTTTCTTTAATGAGTTTGATATATTGGAAAAAATAGAAAATATTAACTTTGCCATAACTTTTGCAGAGGCTACATTTCGTGTTAAATTTTTTTCCTTAGATGTTAAATTTAGCACAAACAGTAATTGTGTGTCAATATGTGCAGAAGTATGTTCTCTGTAGAGGATGTGTGACTTATTTTCACTTAGAAATAAACAAAAACATGTCATTTGACCAGGAGTGTTCAAACGCATATGACATTGCGTGTGTGTGTGTGTGTGTGTGTGTGTGTGTGTGTGTGTGTGTGTGTGTGTGTGTGTGTGTTAACTCAGTTTGCAAACCTATATAGAAAACAAAAATATACACTTATTCATCTTTGTCAGCTGTTCAGGACATGCTGACTGTTTTTCTAACAGCTTTATGATGCAGTAGAAAGTAGCTATTTAATTATTTTTATTTTGCACTTTGCACAACAGTGAATGGTGCTTTTGTTGTTTTGTACTTAATTTAGTGAAATAAGAGGTTAGTTACATTTCTGTTTAATTACACTGAAAAAAATCTTTACTTGTTGCAGGCCCAGACAGAGTCTCACTATTAATCATAATTTATCATGTCTTATATTGTCATTACATTATCAAACAGGTTTATTGAATATCACGTTTTAGGCCCACAATGTGCAACCCTAATATTAAATCACATATGCATAAAAATATAGAGATAAGCCTGTAAATCAACCAAATGATCAGATATCTTCTTTCGTGTTAGCTGCACACAGTAAACAAATATTAAACCTTCCTTGTTTTATTACATCAAAATAAAATATTTGCTTGTTGGGCTTTTTAAATATTGTTTGTTTAAAACCGTAAAAATGGTTAAAGTTTCCATCACACTCACACACTCACTTGTGCATTCAGCTTTTAATATATAGTCCATAACTGCTACAACCCCAATTCCAAAAAAGTTGGGACGCTATGTAAAATTTAAATAAATGTCAATAAAAACAGAATGCAGTGATTTGCAAATCTCATAGACCCATGTTTTATTCACAATAGAACATAGAACACATGTCAGATGTTGAAAGTGAGACATTTTTTCATTTCATGAAAAACATTAACTCATTTAGAACTTGATGGCAGCAACGCATCTCAAAAAAGTTGGGACAAGGCCGTGTCTACCGTAGTGTAGCCTCCCGTCTTCTTTAACAACAGTCTGTAAATGTCTGGGAAGTGAGGAGACCAATTGCTGGAGTTTTGGGAGAGGAGTGTTGCCCCATTCTTGTCTGATGTAGGACTCTAGCTGCTCAACAATCCTGGGTCTTCTTTGCCAGATTTTTCATTTCATGATGCGCCAAAGGTTTTCTGTTGGCAGGCCAGTTCAGCACTCAGACTGTTCTTCTGCGAAGCCATGCTGTTGTGATGGATGCAGTGTGTGGTTTAGGTAGTCTTGCTGAAATATGCGAGGCCTTCCCTGAAAGAGATGCTGTCTGGATGGCAGCATATGTTGCCAAAGTGTATTTCGTTCAGCATTAATGTTGCCTTCACAGATGTGCAAGAAACCCATACCATGCGTACTAATGCACCCCTATACCATCATGGGTGCTGGCTTTTGAACTGTGTGCTAATAACAAGCTGAGGGGTCTTTAGCCCGGAGGACACAGTGTCCATGATTTCCAAAAATAATTTCCAATTTTAATTCATCAGAACACAGGACACTTTTCCACTTCCCCTCAGTCCATTTTAAATGAGCTTTGGCCCAGAGAAGACAGTGGCGTTTCTGAATCGTGTTGATATATGGCATCTTCTTTGCATGATACAGTTTTAACTTGCATTTGTGGATTGTGCAGCAAACTGTGTTCACAGACAATGATTTCTGGAAGTGTTCCTGAGCCCATGCAGTGCCGCCTGAGGGCCCGAAGATCACGGCCAACCAATATTAGTTTTAGGCTTTGTCCCTTGCATACAGAGATTTCTCCAGATTCTCTGAATCTTTTAATGTTATTATATAATGTAGATGATGAAAAGCAAAAGTTCTTTTCTATTTTACATTGAGAAACATTATTCTTGAATTGTTGCACTATTGTATTGTGCAGTCTTTCACAGAGTGGTGAACCCCTCCTCATCTTTACTTCTGAAAAACTCAGCCTGTTTGAGATGCTCTTTTTATACCCAATCATGTCACTGACCTGTGGCCAATTAATCACCAGGTGTTTTTTAGCATTACACAACTTTACCAGCCTTTTGTTGCCCCTGTCCCAACTTTTTTGAGATGCGTTGCTGCCATCAAATTCTAAATGAGTTAATGTTTTTCATGAAATGGTAAAATGTCTCACTTTCAACATCTGATATGTGTTCTATTTTCTATTGTGAATAAAATAAGCTTCTGTAAGATTTGCAAATCATTGCATTCTGTTTTTATTTACATTTATTTACATTTTACACAGCGTCCCAACTTTTTTGGAATTGAGGTTGTACATCATTGCTGTATAAGTTGCTTTACTGAAGTGTTAATGGTTGACTGGCACTCAGGTACTGGATCCCACCCTGTCATGCCGTACAGAGGCCTCCGCCCAATCAGGCAGTTCCTGCAGTGGCTGAAACAGGTGGACGAGGCCAGCATGCTGGACAGGGCTGTGATTGGGGGATACTTCAGTTACCCACCCCTACCTGTTTCCCTGCAAAGCTTCATGGACAACAGAGGAGGTAAAGAGAAAAAAAAAAAACATTTGGTGGATACCAAAAAGGCTTCAACTACAACACTGATAGAAGGTCTGTCTGATATTACCAACATTACCTGTAACCCCTGTGTGACCCTCAAGACCCTCTGGCTAGTTCAGTTTATGTTATTATAACTTTCACCATGATTGAGTCAGAGAATCATCATGGAACAACACATGATTTGTGCATGTGACACAACTGGTTTTTAATCATGCTACTTGCTGCTTAATTTAAAACACTGACACAGAGGTCATGTTACATGATCACATGGTGGCAGAAACAACAACAGACACACTGGATGGGGAAATGAATGTGGAGATCATAAATCAGTGTTTGCTGCACCCCTGTGGTGAACAGAGGAACTTGTGGTATATTGGTTTGACTGTTCTGATACTCACTGATTTGTACTTTTCCTTGACTTGTCTGGAATATAAATGTTTTTTTTGTGTTCAGGTGAAGCTGGTTTGATCAGTGGGGGAGAAATGAAGCTGCAGTGTGACAGGCTGCATTACAGAGAGAGACGACGCTTCACTATTCTGTGCACCATCACTGCAGCCTGCTACCACAGCAGAGAAGTACACACACACACACACACACACACATACAAATGAGAGGGAACCAAAAGATTTGATCATTGGGTATTAGTTTTATGTCTATATGATCTCTTTCACTCTCAGGATTCTGGGAGGATGCGATATTCAGACCCACCGTCTGCCCAACTCAGCCCTAGAGTGCCAAGACAAAAAGAGAGGTGTGTTTATAATAGTTGCATATCTTATATCATCTGCATATTATATAAAATGTGTTTAATTGCCCTACTGTTTGCATGTCAGTTCTGACCTTTTTAGGACTCCAACAAAGCGGAAATTGATCTTTACCGCAAGCACCCCCAGCAGCGCCAGGAAGAGGTAATGTATATTAGAGAGAGAGATGTGCTCTCCTATTTGGTGCAATAGAAGCCCCATAGAAGTGTCCCATCTCTCATTTTGGCATTCAAAAGGGCACTCATGAGTGCTCTCTATGTGCAGCCTTTCCCCTTGATGCAGACTCAGCAGCAGCCTATCACCCAGAATTCCTTATAAATACATGCCAGGACAAGTCAGATTGCAGAGATTTGTTTATAGCTTTCTGACAAACATGGAATACAACAGGGGTTCCCAACCTTTAGCAACTCGCGGCACACAAAAGCCCACAAAAGTTTCCGTGGCCCTCAAGAAGATTTCTGACTCACCTAATGAGAGAACTGATCTTACTGGATGTCAAGCTGAAGGGAGGAAAGTTGGAAACAGAGTTCTTGCTCAACTTTATAGATTTAGATACATATTATATAGTCTCCAAGCATACAGCACAGAGCGGTAGTTGCTCGTTGCTTGTAGTTCTCATGCATCCCATCGCAGCGCATGCTACTCACTACTAGGGGTGGGAATCTCTAGGCACCTCATGGTTCGATTCGATTACGATTCAGAGGGCTGCGGTGCGATTATAAAACAATTATCGATGCATCTCGATGCATCTTTTTTTTCTATACATCATTTCTATTTTCTCACTGTGTGAGGACTTGGTAGCTTTAAAGCAAAGTATTTGTAATGATCCATAATGAATTTACTTCCAATATCTTTTATTAATAAAACAAATGGAAGTGATGTGGCAAGTGAACTAGACGGCTCTCATTCACTGCCTTTGGAGCACGAGACGCTGCTGCTACTCATCTGCGATAAAATGCGCAGTTACGGTCCAGTGGCAGTGGATGTCCACGCAGCGCGTTACAGCCGTCCTACCCGTTTTAGTGACTGAGGGGAATCGCTGTGTCAGTAAAATATCTTCGAGACGGGGCGCGTGCAACATTGCGCAAAAGCCCTGTTTCGCAACGACTGAGAATTGCCATGCAGACTGCAGGTCACCTAGCAACGATGCGTTATTCGCATTTATAAGCAGCGCAGTTGGTTTCCTGGTACGTTAAATCTGCAACTGTCACACACTAAAAAGTCGCAAAGATGAAGTCGCTTCTCTTCCGAATTTTCTCATTCCACATTCGGCGCCTCAGTCAGAATATAAGGTGGAAGGGGAAAATTCGAACAAGAAGCTGGAGAATAAGAAGCGACTTCAGTCTTGTAAAACAGTTGAATGTTGAGAGACATTTTACAAGAAACTGATCTAGTTTTGAGGAAAAGTTTTATGGCGGAGATGGGAGGAAAGCGGCTGTAGGCGAAGCTTAAAGCAGAGCAAATTAAGTCCGCATTTTCGTTTATATTGTTTAGCCTATACTAGGACATCAACACATACTGAGATATACTGGACATAAATGTTGTGGCTCCCAAGGTGGTTTGATTTTTGTTGAAAGGTCAAAATGGCTCTTCTTATCATTTGGGTTGTGACTCCTGACCTGACCTGGCTTTTAATGCAGAGGGAGCCGGTCGGATTTCTCACTCATCCAGCTGCGTCACAGACTGTCCGGGCGCTGCACTTACCCACTTCCAAGTTCTGCCTTTTGCGTTCCGTCAACATTACGTTATAAATTAAATATTTAGAAAATCGATTCAGAATCGTCCACGTCCGCATCGCGATGCATCTAAGAATCGATTTTTTCCCGCACCCCTACTCGCTACTGTATTTTCCTTCTTTCAGTTTATGCTTGGTTTTCTCAGTTCTCAGTCTAAGATACAATGGCCACAATTGTAGATGGTCAGGCTTCAGGATCTTTCATTTTGAAAGACTCTTTTAACCATCTATCCGTTATAGATGAGTTCTGTACAATTTGAAAAGTGAAACGTTTAACAGTAGCTTGCTCTGAAAACATAAACATAACTAGCTAATGTTTTTCCCATACAATGTAGGGTTTAGGCTGCCTTTTGGGACAGTCCCAGAGAGGGTTAATTCTTACCACTGTACTTCTGGCGTCAGTGTCTAACAGGGTGTGTCAATTTTGCCAGGTTGGCTCCACCTCTTCAGCAGGCATCAACAGAGGAAGATTTAGAGAATGGTGAGGGGAAAAACACCTATTAAAAGATTATTTTTATCTATCTGCTGCATCTGGAACATGTTTGATTACCATGGACAATAATTTTTACGTGTTTCCCTGAACGTAGGAAAGAGCTGACTCAACACACACAATAGAAGCCATTGCGTAGTTGCTGATTTCCATCGGTAAACCGTTATGTGAAATGCATGATTTTGTAAAAGACTTTAATTAATTATTCAGTCATATTAAGCTCTGTATTTCTTTCTTTCAGAGATGGGTGTAGATTTTGAGAGGGGAGAATTTGTGGTAATGTCTTCCCATCATAGTGGTATGGGTGGACTTTCACAGGCTAATAATTTTCAAATGGATTATTTGATTATTTATTTATGCGACTTGTCTGTGGACAATCAGTGATGCAGCATAGATGCAGCAGGTAGAAATTAAGTAAAAAAATCTTTTCCTTTAAGAGATTTTAAACTTAATATGTGATACTGCATTACCTTAATGCAGCAGTGATTTTAAAAACATTTTAAAACGTGTTATGAAACTTCTGCAGAGTTCTCTCTGTTTGATGGAGCTTTGGAATTTCTGGTTGGAGAGGAGGAGGATGATGACGAAGATGAGGATGAAGATAATGAAGATTTCTCCACTGCACCCACTAGCCCTATGTCTTATCACCTTGGTTTAACCCGTGTTGCCATGGAGACATTACCACGGAGCTTCTGTTATGAACGACGACATGTCCAGGCTGCTGCTGTGGGAATGCAGACCAACAGCTTCCATAAGCTCCTCCCACACAGAGAGCTGGAGTCGTTTAGCCCAGCCCACTGTTACACTGGCTACTTCACATTAACAATGAAAGGTACAAAATGGAATGACTGAAACATCTGAACACACTAACGTTGCCCACTATGTCTGCATGTTGTTGACAGTGTGATTCAAATTCAAACAAATCTCGAAGGATGTTGATCTGAGCCAATCAAGGCATACTTTCGTAGACTAGGCTTCAGCCAGTCCACTATGGATTCTTTATAAAGACTCCCTATTTCCTGTTTTGCTGTCCTTTCACACCACTGTCATAGAGGTGACAATATTAATATTCACAACCTGGGTCACTGAGGCATGTTTTCAAAAGGTTTCCAGTGGCAGCGAATGAGAAACTGTTCTTTAAACTGGATATTTAGATGTGTACAGGTGCAAGTGAGGTAAATATGTAATCTTTATAGGAAGTCCTTAAAGTGCCGTGGTGAAATGTGTAAATATGTGTATATTTATATGTATAAATATGTATGTAGTTTGTAGGATATATACTGTAGAATATATGTGTATGTAGGTGTGGAAGCCCTAGGTGAAATTACATTATGTTGATTATTCTAAGTAACAGAATAAGTTAGCGCATCCTCTACTGGGAAGAAACTTAAATACTGCGTTTTTTGCTAATTTTAGTGCACAATTTCTATTTATTTGCTGTGTTTTAACATATTGGTAAAAATGTAACAAAATATTAACAATATTTATTTACAATATGTTAAATTCAAGAACTTAAATGCAAGAACTTGATTAATTGATAGCTGTCTGGTCCTGATTTTCTGTATGTATGTGTGTGTGTGTTTTAAGCTCTGTCTGATGGAGTTATGCTGGATGTTCTCTTCCTCCCCGCCACTCCTGGAAACTTGCACTGGAGGCCCCTCCCCCTCACACATGACAACACCTGGGATTCTATCCTAGCACATGGTGGCTTTTCACCACATGCTCCGCCCCCAACCCCAGGTAAGACAGTGTGATGATGATAGTGTATACAGGATATTCAGTATAATATACATGGTACTATAATTACATCTGTTTCTCTCTCACAGCTGACTTGATTGCCACAGCAACACAGCTGACAAATCGGAGACTGGTGTGTGTGCTAGAGGCGTGTGCTCTGGGTGGAGACAAAGTGGAGCTTGTTTTAAACCGTGCCTTTCCTCTACGCAGCTGACCAAACTACAAAAGAAATTAGAAATCCTTTTCCAGACACATTAAATGTCACCCTTAGTATTTTGCAGAGCTTAAGCAACAGAGATACTGTCTCAGGTTCATATTTCTTGCTTTTGTGTTGGATATTCCTGTGTACATAACTGCATGTAAATGGCAGAAAGTGCTAAATCTTCATTCATAACATCCAAGGAAGTTTTTATTATTAAAAATCCATAATTTTTTTAGCCTTTTCAAAATACTTGGTATTCTGTGAAAATCCAGAATGGATGAAAAAAAGCACACTTTGTACAGTTCATTGGAGTAAATACAGTACTGTGCAAAAGTCAGAGATCACACTTTATTTGTGGAATTTACAGTTAAAATGTCCATTAAGTTATTCATTCAGGAAAGTTGCTTTCAGTCTTTTAAAGAAATCTGTGTGGATATTTTTTTTCCAAATTCCAATTTTTTAAAATTCCAAATTTTATTTACAAATTTCAGTCTTAGAAGTTGGTTGCAGTTTCTTAGGATCCAAGTATTGTAATCCAAATTACAAATTTAGACTCATCAGTCCATAACTCCTTAGTACACCAAGGTTTGTCCAGTTTGAGTTGTATTTAAATTTTTTTTTGGCCATTTCCTTTTCTCAGTAACGGCTTCTTGACAGCTACACATCTTTTTAGACTCATAGCATGGAGTTGTCTTGCACATCTGAAGTAAAAATGGAGTGATTTCCTCCTCTCTTTCAAAAGATGAAAGCTTTAAGTACTGTCTATCTGATGGTGACAGTTTTGATGGTCTAACAGATGTTGAGATATTTTTCTCTAGTCCTTTAAATAATTGTTTAAACTTTTGTTTTGGAGACTCTTATTTTTTCATTTATTTTCCCTTATTTTACCACTTCCCTTTCTTATGCAAGTGGATTACTGTAAATCTAATCTTCTCAGTAATGTTTCCTGAAAAATTACTAAATAACTTGATGACCGTTTTTAGCTGGAAATTGAATAAACAGTGGTCTCTGACTTTCGCACAGTAGTAAATATTGTTAAATGTATTTGTTAATATTAAGACATTGACTTAAATGTTTAGCAAAATCTTTTCAACAGACTCACCAAATAAATTTTACTTTATATCACTGGGGCCCAAACTGATGACTGTTGCTGACCTTTTCCATTGTTTCCAGTGACCTTTTTCTCCAGTGTTCAGAAACCAAGGAACACATACAATGGAGTAAACAGTGGCTTGTTGGACCACTTTAAATTAATGGAGGACATTCAGTTTGGACAACTCTAAAGCCTTTATTTTTTAACAGTTGTTTCATATCATTATTTATATTATTTATGTGTAAGGGTTACAGAATCTTGTCATGTGAAGTAAATACTTCAGTTACTGTAATAGATTGCTTCATATGGACTGTTTTGTCTTATGAGAGTAAATAATCTCATATATAAATCACCTTTGTGTACATTCAGAGATCCAAAACTTTGTCGTTCTCATAAACAATGGTGCCTTTGATGATGACAAATCCGATGAGCTCCTGATGGCTTCCAAACTGGTAAATGAGATGCTCCCATCTGCAGAGAAAAAGAAATGATGAGCAGCATGCTTCCGTAATCCACACTGTAATCCATTTTGATGCTCAAACTACCTCAAAGATTCAGAAATCTGTATCATCCTCCTGCACTCTTAATCCTAATCCAGTATTGCAGATAATCCTGATCTAACATGCAAACCATGCACCTAACATGAATTCCTTTTAACTTGTGTGGATCAGGTGATTTATTTCTTAAGCTTAATTTGTGTGTATTTACCTTGGTGCGTTAATTATGAGCAGGTCTCCTTGTTTGCTGGGCTCTAGTGATCCGTGTGAGTGGGAGCGATTGAGGGCGTAGGCTGCATTTATGGTGGCGGCTGCCAGAGCTTCAGGCATGGACATCTTCAGTGTAACGCAGGCCAGGTGCATCACCATGGGCTAACAGAGAGTGGCATGTCTAACATACATTATGTAGCCATTTTTATTATATGCTATAATTTCAGTTCTAGAGGTCTACAGTCCAGTACAGTTTGGTGATATGCCATTTTAAACCTGGCTATTAAAGGGGAATTTCACTGATTTGTTCCAAATAATTAGTCATACAGAGTGGTTTAATGTGATATGGTGTTAGGAACCAGGAGATGTGATGTCTGCAGTGCAAACGTAGCCTTTTTATTCACGCTAAACCTACACATTTTTGAGTTTTTAACGTGATGCTTATAATGGTTAATCTGAAAAAGTACAATTTTACCTTACAGTGCTCTGCATGTACCTCTCTGTCATGAATGGATTAAAAAAAGGAAAAGTTGGGCTCAAACAGCTCTAGTCGAGGTGCTGCCTTTAAGAAATATGTAAATCACGCGGTGACAAACAGCTCAAAATGTGATCTTGGTTTTATTGTGATGAGTAAATAAAGACTTCTCATAAGGAGTGAATGTTGCACCTTTTTGCCACGCTATGGATTTAAAAACCTTATCCTAAAACCATTTCATATTGTAACTGTGATGTCGCTTTTAGAGGCTTTAAAGGGTTCAGACGTCTAGTTTCTATCACTGTCATTGTAAACAATGATGACTGTAATTTTCTCTAAAATGCTGCATTTCATATTGAACTAAATAATTTTTAAGCATTTAATGATCTTAACCATTTCATTATGCAGACATTTTGAAGAACTGGTGTAATTCCCCTTAACCTGTGCTGAACTGCAGCCTGCTAGGATGGATGCTGGTGGGCCCAAAGTTTTATTACACACTTCTGCAACCTAAGAATAGCTCAACGAGTTTCCATTGAAGTCCTTGTAGTTACTGAATAATAAGCCTTAGTATGTAATAAGTCTAGCATTTTAAGGGGTTAAAAATGTTTTAACATGTTTCTACACAAGTGAGTATATTAGTTACCATTGAACAGCAGTAAGCATTCGGATTGAAGTCGCTGCCAAGTGATACTATAACTCCAGCATCAAGCATATCTCTGGCACGAGGACACGGGAGCCTGTTTTCACATTTAAAATGTTAATTTCAGCTAATGTATTGGTTTGTACTTAGTTGGTGTATTTTTAGCATATTTACTGATCAGCGTACCTGAGAATATAGGCAGTGGTCGGCAAAAGGATGGCTGATGTCTTGGCGGCTGCCATGGCAGCAATGCCCTCATCTGTCACCTCCTCCAGGTGGCTTATGGCTAAAGCAGCAAGTTTCGCCCCAAGCTGACATCAGGAGTGGGAGGAAAACATAAACAGAGGTAATGTATGTTGCTTTGGAGCTTTATCTCTCAGTATCGTTTGATATGTTTTCACAGTTTTAACCTTGAATGTGAGTTTTTGTTAATCCAGCAGAAATTTGTAGCTTTAGTCAATGTTGTGAATCACACTAGTTGTATCTGAATAGTTACACACAATTTGTCCAAGTTCGTGGTCTTTGTACATAAGGGTCGACACATACTAGGGCCAGATCAGTGTACCATTTGGTTGATAAAATTGTCCAATGTTAAAGTTCCAGAGATTTATCAGCATTGGCGGACATCCTGTCAATAAGGCACTGTGTCTATTTAAATCTTAAATCCTTTCCTTTTAACAACACTTCGTTGTTTGGGAGCTGGAAACACCAACTGATCCAGTTTAGAAACAGGATTTTTTTGCCATTCTTAAGTTACATATAGGGCCTTCGCTGCTATATTTTGCACTTCATAGCGTGACACGTTTTCAGTGGGAGATAGGTTTGGACCGCAGGACGGCAGAACAGTCTAACACCCACACTCTTCGATTACACAGCCATGCAGTTGTAACACATACAGAATGTGGCTCAGTGTTGAAATAAGCATGGACATCCCTGAAAATCAGTTGTTTCAAAAATCTTTCAGTGTTAATGGTGCCTTCACAGATGTGCAGGTTCTCTGTGCTATGGGCACTAATACACCTCCCATACCATGACAAACCATGGCTTTTGAACCTTACATCGGTAACAGTCTGGATGGTCATTTTCCTTTTTTGGTCAAGAGAACATAACATTCAATACTTCCATAAACAGTCTGAAAGTTTGATTCGTCAGACCAAAATACATGTTTCCACTGTGCATCAGACCATTTCAGATGAGTTTGGGCCCCAACTGCATTTCTGGATGTTTTTATTTGCATTTCACCTACGGTCCCAACATCTTGGCCCTTTTTTATATTGTTTAAAATATAAAAAAGGAAAATATTTTAGAAAATTTGACAATCATATTTGATTATTCACAGTCATACAGGTCTGTAAAGTACTGTTTAACTAACAGTATTGCAGTCTGATTAATTTTTGACCATAGTAAGTAACTGGCTTATATTCTCACTTATCTGAATGTTTAGCTCCTGAAAGTCTGCACTGGTGACAAAAATTTCATACCATTCTTGTCCTGTTACACACCTGTGCAGAGTTCATAGGATGAAGTTCATCTCCGTGGAAGTTGATGTTGAGGCCCATGTCTTTACCAGCCTGCAGAATTCGGCATGTGGAGTTGAGGTCGAAAACACCTTTCTCACAGAACACGTCAATGTTGTCCACCTGAAGGCTGCCTTCTGTAATCTGCTTCTGTATAGTGGGCAGCTGCACAGACAGAATGTCCTCTGTTGCCTCCTCCATAGTCTTACCTCTGGACATGTGCACAGGTGAAGAGCATGGGAGTGTGAGCTTGTGAGATACAGTTACGTCCAAAACTGCATACTACCTCACTATACATACTATAATGAATGTAATTCTAATGGTGGTGTGCTACATTTGACATACTGTTTAGTGTGGTAGTTAGCGATTTTGGACGCAGAGTGAGAATGGAAAGGGTGTTGGTGTGTTAATAACTTTGTGTTTTAATAGAAAACTGTTCAGATCTGGCCATTTTTCTTAGCAAACCTGCATATCTGAAAGAATACATTTTATCCTCTTGTTGTGATGTCAGCACTCAAACTGTTCAGCTGTTTAAACTACCTTAAAGAATGTTCAGTATGCTTTAAACAATAGTTTGGAAAAGAAAATTAATTTAACTGAAAAGTAACAGCAAGACAGTTCAGAAAAGAACAGGCTTCCCTAAGCTGTAAATGATCAGTGTGTATAAGAAAGAGTAAACTAGTACTAAGTGTGTTTGACCTGGGCACAGCATGGGCTCCGCAGTATGTTGAGGATATCCCGATAGGCATGCTCCTCCGTGCAGCATCTATAACGCTTAGCATTTTTAGCTCAGCGTCGAGGTCCAACCCATATCCGCTCTTACACTCCACCAGCGTAGTGCCGGCTCTCAGCATGCGCTCCAAACGGCCCTTTAACCCCTCCAGCAGAGTTTCTGAAGATGCTGCACGTGTGTGCTTCACTGTGAAGTGAATGCCCCCTCCAGCCTCATGCACCTCCATGTATGTAGCTCCAGCAAGCTGCATACACACACACAAACACACACTCACTTACATTCACATAATATTTACTCAAGACCGACAGATAAGAGCTTAAAAAATGACACAAAATAAGCTAATAATATACTGTGCAAAAGTCAGAGACCACCCTTCATTTATTTAATTTCCAGTCAAGACAGCTATTAAGTACATTTTTCAGGAGATTAGATATATGATGATATACTTGCTTAATAAGGGGAAAGTCAAAGTAAAATAAACGCAAAAAACTGGACTTACTTATTATTGCTAAAAGCTATAGAGAAAATGACTCCTAACAACTGTCCTTCCACTGTGAGAAGACAAATGTTTAACTGTCAAGACGAATGTTTAGCTGTCAAGAAGCTGCTACTGAAGAAAGGAAATAGAAAAAATCTCCAAATCAAACAGAAACTACTAGTGTTCTCAGAACAATGAACGGACCGCCCCAGAGTCCAGACCTCACTGAATTTGGGGTTTGGGATTAGTTGGATTATGCGAAGCAGAAAATGCAACCAACTGCTAATACTGAACTTTGGAGGTGTGGAAAAATATCCCTGCAGATATTTTTGAAAAACTGAAATCAAGTCTTGGGAAAAGAAGGCCTTTTTTACAGCTTCCAAAGGGAAATACTGAAAATTTTGGTATTATATTTCAGAATATAATATATTTTATAAATTTTGTGTTGAATATACGTTTTCTGCTTTTTCTCCCTTATGGGTAAAAATGAATGGCTGTTCTGACTGGACATTTAATAAATGAAGGGTGGCACAATACTGTACACTGCATCATTTACATGCTACTGTGCAATGCTTCTCACAGAGTCTTTAATAAAACATTAAAAAATAAATCAATACAATTTTTAAGTATTTACAGTACAATACTGACTGTCCTTCTAGTAATTTAACTTGTCTTTAAAATAGAAAATTTATTCATCCTCTTAAAACCATTTCATTAAAGATTTTTACTCTACCTTCATTGCAAACTCATGAACTCTGTCCCCAGCCCAAACTGGATGTGTGTGTGCATCAATCAAGCCTAAAAAATTGTGTTATCAGTTTAATAATGGCTCACAGTGGTATTTTGAAGATTTGCTCAGAGAAGCTGAATACTTGCCAGGGAGAACACACATGCCAGTAGCATCTATAACCTTATTGAACACTGCGTCTCTGAACTGCAACTCAATGGAGTCTGCTGATCCCACAGCTTTTATCAGTCCATCACTGCACATGCACAAGAATCTTAATAAAGCAATGCATTTGTGGACACAGAAAAATTCATATTTACTTCCAATGAAGGGTTCAAATCATTATAAGAGAATGCAAAAATGACTTACTGTCCAATCACCACACTCCCATTCTCAATAACTGCCAAATTCTGCATCCCCTCTTTGGTCAGAAACTTCTCGCCATTTTTACCCACTAAAACCACCTGTTTTGCACCTTTCACTAAAAGCTTGAAGTTGCTGGACATTTTGCTTTTGGGTTTCAAACACGAGCTGAGCTGAACTCCTGGATGGAAAGACAGGTAAATATTTAGCAAAGGCCAAAATCAGGCTCATGGGCAAAGGTCAGCATGGGAGGGGCCCACAAGCAAGAAGTAACTGGTCAGTGGACTGGGGTGGGAGGGTGTCTGATGTTAACAAAGTAAAGTGAGTCAAGCTTAAACTGTCTGTGAATCTCAATGTCCTTGTTGCTAAAAAATATGCAGGAGGGTGCTAGAGAACCACGTTCATACATACAACTGGGTTCCCTTGCAAATGCTTTGAGTGCAAAGCTGACTGTGCAAATGACTAAAAAGTTATATTCATGGTGTTTGATTAATTGCATTTATCACACTAATGCAAATAAATTTTCCCAAAATGTGGTTAATAGAGCAAGTGAAACAGCAAGTCTGTTTGCGTATGACATGGTTTGCAGCATGTGTGATGATTTGTCAGTTATGTCACTGTTTCTCAGCCCTGCACTTTTTAGTGTTTTCCCTGCTCCCAACACACCTGATCCAACTAATCAGCTCATTAACAGACCCTTACTGTGTTTAGGTAGGCAAGGAAAATATTAAAAATGTGCAAAGCAATGGGCCTCCAGGTACCTAGGCTGAGAAACACCTAGTTGCAGGACGCTAATCTGATGGATATAAACTTCCATTAGCCCAGCAGCCCCAGTGAAAAACTCAAGAGAACTACACATAAAACATGTTTTGGCTGATCGACAGTATTTGTTGTTAGGGGAAGGGGAAGTTCATTTTTTTTTTTTCAGCTGAACCATTGCTTTAAGCGAGCAGGTAATTGAACCCACTTTATGTCGCCACTTAAAGTTATTCTAGTTAATTCCTAGTGAGGGTGCGCAGAAAAGCAGACTTTTAAGATGATCACATAAGGCAGTAAAAATCTACCCATAAGCCCTCACATGCCAGGCACAGCAGTAGTCAAATAAATGTGTTTGAGAGTATGAGAACTTTGAGATGCTGTAAAACAGAATACAAATCTCCTCAATAACAAAATAGTTTTACAAAAATCAGTTTTACAAAACATTAAATGGAAAAACTTACTGTTAAATTATGTAGATCTCAGTCCATTTCAAAAAGATAAAGCAGAAGCCATATCTCAACAAACTCAGGAACACAAAATACAAAATGCATAATTTTATTTGCACAAATGTGCCATCAGAATTATGCTTTTATAGTATACAAAACAACCCAACAAATGAATTTTACAAAGAAAGAAAAAGAGAAACAAAGCTTCACATACAACTAGTACAAACAAAATCATACATTTTCAGCCCTCACCCCTAATCACAAATTCATCATTCTCTCATTTCCCCATCTTCTTCCTCCTCTTCCACTCCACGTATATACAAAACATTGTTACACCTGCAAAATAGGCAAGAAAAGATAAATTGTTACTATTACTATAGTACTATTTTGACTCTTCTAATAATTATTTTTTGGTGAATCCACAATCAGTCCACACTTTTGTTATGCTTTAGTGTTCCTGACACACCTGAGCAAAGCCTTCAGCAGCCTCTTATGGCCTGGACTGTGCGTGTTTGAAAGTGGAACAGAACAAAAGTATGGACTGGTTTGGTGTCTCTAAGGATCAGGGGGGGGTATTTCACAAAGCAGGATTTCTCAGATTAGCCAGATATCTTAAGACCAAAGTCAGGCTTGTCCCATAGGAAAAGAGTTGACAGATTCTCATTAGACAGTCCTCATCTTTGGGCTTAAGTTATCTGGCTAACTGAGAAATCCTGCTTTGCAAAATACTCTGCAGGTGGAGAACTTTAAGCATGAACCATATGAACACAAAGCTTAAGTGGAAAGACCTGCACAATTCACTTTCACATAGTGGACTTCAGACTCTAAATGACTGCTTCGCAATGATTTCAGTGCTTATATATTCTGCAGCAGTGTGCTGTGGATTAAAGTACAGCTGCTTACCTGACCAACACCTCCCCAAGGTGACCCGCCAAAGCTCCATCCACGTACTCCTCTGTGTTAGCCAACTGGCATAGAAAGAGAACGAGAGGGGAGACAGAATGTCAAAACAGATATAAATAACATTACTTTGTGATACATACCTGCCATTTTCACTACATGTATGTTTATTGAGTCAATCTAAATAAATAAGGTCCAGGGCAACATTTTTACTGCATGATGCACAAAACTGGGGCATTAATATGAACTACTGAGAGGCTATTATATCTAGAACTATGCATTTCAGTCTACATGCCTTTAAAATCTAGAGCAACACTGTCATTACATTACATGTCAATATTTGAGGCAATAAAACAGACTCCACACTTAAAAAGGATGGTTCTGCAAGAGTTCCAATTAGAGCCATGAGTTCTATATAGAACCATTTGACACTTTTTATGTTAAAATGGTTCTTCAGACTGACAGTGAATGTGTTGTATATGGTTCTATACAGAAGCATTTTAAAAACCCCTAGAGAACTCTAAGTATGCGCTCATGGGGACTGTATCTAGGGCCTGATTGGCAGGTGAGGGCAACATTCCTTACTAATATCTTACTTTGCTTTCCAATACACACAAATATTGTTATTCTAAAGCTATAAAATCATTCACGTTTTACTTTACACCAAACAGTCCAACAATGCAAAATAAACAGTGAAGGGTTTTCATTTTTATTTACTGAATACTAACAGAATTACTTCTACTAAAAGTGCCTTTTTAAAGTCACGGCGAAAAATAAAACACACTGAATAATTACCACGCATGCGCATGAACAAAAAAATTAAACGAATCAGAGCATGACAATACCTGCATGTTCATGTATCCGTCCACCGATACCAGGTAGCCCTTGTACTCCATTCCCCATTTCAGCTTCAGCATCACGGGTTTTCCAGTCAGGCCGTTCAGGAACGGCTTTGGGTTCAGTGGTAAACTCTGAGCAGAGAGAGCGGTCAGCACTTTAACCAAGGTCCATCTCACACACGGCTAACTCGAGCTAACTTAGCGCTCACACAGCAACGTTTATCTAACGTCAGACCAAACATTCCTTTCTGCGTATTTAACATTACTAAAACTGAAAAAAGAGACCAAGTAACAAATAAAAAAGACATGAACATCAGCCACATTAACCAAATCAGACACCGTCAAAGGGGGAAAGTCTTCTCCTGTGTTATTAAGTTACGGCGGCATGAAAGCACTCCGTATTAACCAGCCATTTAGCATTAGCATGCTAACATCGTCGACACCTTCTTCATGAATGAAAACCTCTTTCAATTGATGTTAAAAACGAAGCTGCGCACAAAACGTGAAAGGCTGATAAACACTCACCATGCTCAGAAAACAAAATTAGTTCTCAGTAACTATTAAATATTGCTTCATTCAAAACGCATCTGCTTCAGAAGCTCACTCGCACGCCTTGCCGCCAGGAAAGGGAAGGACAACAAGTAACGAGTTTAGCTCTGCACTCGAAACAGAGAGAGCGTGTCCCCCAGCGCCCCCAGCTGTACTGGAATAACTGAACTTTTATCTTATTTTTCACCCTCTGACCAAAAGAGGGCGCCTGAATACCAGAACTCCGCATTACCGGGAACCTGGACCTGTAATACCCCATGTCCTGCACAATTTAGTGTTCTTTCCTTGTTAATTATCTAATCAGTTAAATCTGATGTGCTAGAGCAAGGAAACATCTCAAATGTGCAGGACACGATGCTTCTATACAATAGAAGAGTGTCTGGATAAGTACAACATTTGGTCTAACACTAGGCGAGTGGTCACCAGCCCTCCTTCTAGAGATCTACATTCCTGCAGAGTTTACTTCCAGCCTGGCCTTTTTTTTGCGCTGCCTCACGCTAATGCATCTGATCCAATCAATCAAGAACTTCTGAAAAAAGTTAATTGGCTGGAGGCATTGTGGCAGACTGTGGTAGGAGCAAGACTCTGCAAGAAGGTAGATCTCATGCACCAGGGTTGGTGACCACTAGATTGTTGGCCATACTGTTTGCGGTTTTGCTCAGGTTCACAGTTACGCAACGTATTTCTTAATTATTTCTCCATTAGTGTGCAGTTGTGTATTGTATATTGTGCCATTGTCGTAGAACAATACGTGAGAGAGGCCTTTATTTCTGCCACGAGAAGTGCTCTTTTACTAAGCAGCAAAGGCACATAAAAACACAGCCGGAGAAGGCAAGTCACTTCTAGTCATATGTTTTCTCCTCATAGTTTATACCATAACCCCCACTATCTCACCCAGGCCCAACACAAAATAACACACTCAACACATAGCATTTCCTTTTCAGGATGAAGTATAGCCCCAGCCACCATTAGGAGATCTAAGCCAGGTATGCATGTATCTCGTATGGGTGTGAGTCAAACTCATGTACCCGGCTCAGACTTCCCAGAATGGCAAAGAGCCACTTTCTCCCCCTAGGTGGACCCGGCCGCCAGTGACTGACCTGAGCTGGACGCTGGCCGCCTCCCAGCTGCCTCTTTATTGTGTGTGGGGGCACACCTGGTTGTAGCAGGGATCTTGACGAGCTTGTGTCGATAAGCACAGCGAGCCGTCTGCATTTTGTGCTGCACTCAAACCACAGCCGGTCCTCCAGGCTGGCTTCCTTTTCCCCGCCAGCTCAGGTTTGCAGCACTGTCTGGTGCGGTGCCACAATCAATGCCACTAGATTGCTGTGTTGCTCCGGTAAACAAGAGGGCTTTTCCTTCCAGGGCTAGGCACAGCTGAATCACAATGATGGCCTTTGTCCAGCTGTGATGCTGGGCAGTGATTTGTAGCTGAGCCAAGTATGGCTCCAAAAGCACCTTCACATTATAGCATGGTAGGCGGATGGGTGCAATCTTTCTCTTGCCAGGCTCCACTGCCAGCTGCCACTGCACTGTCCCTTCACCGTCCTCTTTGCCTCTGCCGGCCACCACTGTACCTATACCTGTAACCACTTGGCTATCCCACTTCTGACACCACAGTGGTGTTGGACATAGAACATGACAAGAGAGACCATTATTTCTTTCATGAGAAGTGCTCTTTTATTTACACCAGCAGAAAAGTCACATACAAACACAGCCGGGGAGCAGGCAGGTCCGAGGCATGGGTTGTACTCATTTTTGTAATGAGCTAATTTACTTCTTTACATTGGGTCAGTTTGGATTACAAACATAATGTGTCTCAATTACATGTTAAACCAATAAACAAATGTATTTTGACTCACATCTGAGTATGTTTTTCTCTGTCATTTTGGTCTAGCAGCTGTAAACAAACCCATTCACTTTCGTCTGTATCTCAAGGAATTTTGGGTAAGGGGCCGCTGCTGAGTTTGCTTTGATTTAGTGCTCGACAAGGCTGCACTAAAAGCACATAGAGGCAGTTTGTGAGCACTCCTTTGAACAGCAAAATGTGAAATGGGACACCCTACGGCCTCACAGTACTTGTGTGCACACACAGTCGAGGACTGCAGTACTTATGCACCAATTGGAACAGAGCTGATCAAACTTATTCAAGTTGTGACAGAATACAAGATGCTCATGACAAGTTTACAGTTTAAAGCCAAGAGAGACAGCTAGCTGTGATGATGTAGTCTGTCTGAAAGGTTCCACATCCACCTGAATGCCATACTAAATAAGCAAGATGAATAGAATGTTGTGCCTTTGCAAATCAGCTCTCATTGAACTGAAAGCACCCATTGATTTCAAATACGGTACTGGTCATACTCACTTCAATCATATTTTATTGAATCACACAGCTGCTAGTCCAGTGAACAAATATCACAAAAAATACTGAATAGCTCTCTTTATTTCTGCCCTCCACCCCGAGAAGTAAACTCCAAATGACATTTTAGTTGTACAATCTGAGTGACACATGATGGATACTTGTTTGGATAAATGGAATGAACGGAATGGCAGGCTATGTTTTCTCATCCTGTCTTCTCAGGTTTGTAAAGTGTATGGGAGACCTGTTGTAGCCTTTGCTGCAGTCTGCACCTGAACACCAGACCTGAGCAAAACATCAGGAGAATGAAATGTCAGCCTCATTCCTCAATATGAATTGGAACTCCCCTCCAAGTGGGAGTGTTTGGTCTTTGAAGGGGATTCCCCAGGTAGAGTTGTCTGAGTATTTGTAAGTTCATCACTATCTTCCCTCCATCCATTCTTGGGCAAAACAATAATACATATAAATATTACCAATTTTTTTATTTGACCAAGAAATTTTCCATGGTTTTAATTATTAAGTTATGACTTTAGGAGTGCTTATTTGATGGAAGAGGAAAGAATGTGGGCTCTAATCTCAAACGCTTTGAAAATCTTCAGTCTTGAAGAATAACAGCCAACGATTAATTTCTAAAAGCGGATGAATCAGGCATTCTGCAAATCCTCACTAACGGATTAGAAGCGGAAATCTTTTCACCCAGACGCATTCCACACCATCAACCAGGAAAAGTTCACTGGACGGCTGCCGTTTATCCGCTCGCGAGTTCCTTCCCGCCTTCAAGCCCACACAACCCGTGACAACGCCCCTCACTTTCACATGAATCCAACAAAGGAGAGAGGTAACTTTCACTACATCCTGCTCAAGCAACCTATGACAAAATATCACTCCAACCTGCTCTGCTTCTTAAAAGGCCCTTTAGTGTAGATACAGTTCAAAATTTATTCAATGGGACTGAAAACTTTATTGTCTCATGAATATGATGTTTATAAACACCATGCTGTTAACTTTAAATCCTCTTTTTAGCACTGTATAGCCAAGAGCTAACGAATAGACTCAACAAAAGTGCACTGATGCTATAGCTAATTCCAAGCAGAGATTTGCGAAATGCTAACAGGTTGCTAACTTACGATGGCCGAGCCAATAGCCCTTAAGGGTTCTCAGTCGCAGTCCTGGTGGCCCAATGCTCTGCACTTTTTCGGTTTTCCTACTCTAAACACCTGACCCAGCCCACGAGGAGCTTGTTAATCAGTTGAGTTGAATCAGGTGTGCTAGATGAGAGAACCTTAAATCATCTTTAATGAATTTACACTCTTCATTGTGGTCAATTAGAGTTTTTAAATGTATGACCTGTTTACATACTCTACATCAATTATATATTTTTTTTCAAAGGTGTAACATAAATGTACATGTAGAAGCTTAGAAATTACATTCTCATCAATACATACAGCAGGTGTATTGGAATGAGCGTGTTGGTTAGTGGGAGTGTCTTGTAGTGAGTGTTACCTTCATTAGCAATAGCCTGGGGAGTATTTCAAAAAAGCAGTATTTCTGAGTTAGCCAGATAACTTGGGCCCAAAGCTGGGGATTGTCCAATAGCTACTTGACTTCAGGCTTAAATTGTCTGGCTGAGAAATCTCTGTCTATAAAGCACCCCCCTAAGTTTCCATCCTGTCCACTGAAATTCAAGCAAATAACTGAAATGATGCAAAAGGTTTATCTTAGATAATTTGTAAGCTGATCAGTTGTAACCTTAGTTCTTCAATCGGTAAAAGTTATCTAACTAACCTAAGTTAGCGTAACCTTGTGTCCAGTGTTATAAGGGTAAGCAAATCTGGTTCACCCTGTGTCTCCAGATAGGTAGATGTAATTCTTATTTCATGTCCAAAGAAACTAGCCAGTGTACATCCACCATTACAGCCATATTTATCAAGCTTTATTTTTGTGATGTCACAAAACCCAACACAGTGTGTGTTGCGCTGGTATGAGTGGATTAGACACAGCAGTGCTGCTGGAGTTTTTTTACACTGTGTCCACTCACTGTCCACTCTATTAGACACTCCTACCTTGTTGTCCCACCTTGTAGATGTAAAGTCAGAGACAATAGCTCATCTGTTGCTGAACAGCTTGTGTTGGTCATCCTCTAGACCTTCATCAGTGGTCACAGGACGCTGCCCACAGGACGCTGGTGGCGGGATATTTTTGGTTGGTGGACTGTACTCAGTCCAGCAGTGATACTGAGGTGTTTAAAAACTCCACCAGCACTGCTGTGTCTGATCCACTCGTACCAGCATAACACACACTAACACACCACCGCCAAGTCAGTGTCACTGCAGCGCTGAGAATGATCCATATCCACCACCCAAATAATACCTGCTCTGTGAGGGTCCTGTGGGGGTCCTGACCATTGAAGAACAGGGTAAAGGGGGCTAGCAAAGTATACAGAGAAACAAATGGACTACAGTCTGTAACTGTAGAACGACAAAGTGCACCTATATGGCAAGTGGAGCTAATAAAATTAACAACAAGTGTAGAAACAAGAAAGTGGTTTTAATGTCATGGCTGATCAGTGTAGAGAATGTCGTTTGACTTTATCCTTATAAATAGGAACAAAAAAGTGTGTATTCATAAGCATAAACAAAGATATAGTTAAAAATTTAAACTGATAAAGTATTTAGACACAACCAAATTAATAAAGTAATTTGTTTGGGCTCATTTTCTTGTTGAAACATCCAGATTCAGTTGC